TCCAGGACCAGATGGCTTCACAGGTAGATTCTACTAAACATTTAAACATTTAAAGAAGAGTCAACATCTATCTTTCTCAAACTACTGCAAGAGATTAAAGGGGAAGGAATGCTTCTGAACTCATTCCACAAGGCTAGCATTGCCAAAATCTGACAAAGACACTAAAAAAAAAAGAAAAAAAGAAAGAAAGAAAATTACAGGGCAATATCCCTAGTGAACATAGATGCAAAAATCCTCAACAAAGTATTAGAAAGTTGAATTCAATAATACACTAAGATAATCATACACAATGATCAAGTGGGATTTAGTCCAATGATGCAAGGATGATTCAACATCCACAAATCAATCAATGTGATACACCAATTAACAAAGTGATAAAAATCATATGATTATTTCAATAGATGCAGAAAAGTCCTTTGACAAAATTAAACACCCACTTATGATAAACTCTCAATGCAGTGGTAATAGAGGGAACATATCTTAACACAATAGTTGCCATTTATGACAAACCCATAGAACAATCATACTTTGTGGTAAAAAACTGAAAGCATTTCCTCTAAGGTCAGGATCAAGTCAAGGCAGTGCACTCTTGCCACTTTTATTCAACTAATAAGTGCTAGCCACAGCAATCATAGAAGAAAAAGACATGAAAGGCATCCAAATAGGAAGAAAGAAAATTGTCACTGTTTGCCAATGAAGATATGTAGAAAACCCTAAAGACTCCACCAAAATCTATTAGAAATAATAAATTACTTCAGTAAAGTTGCCACATACAAAATTAACGTACAGAAATCTGTTATATTTCTATACTAATAATGAACTATCAGAAGGAGAAATTAAAAAAAAAATAATTCCATTTACAATTGTGTTAAAAAGAACAAAATACCTACCCAAAGTGGTAAACACATATACTCAGAAAGCTATAAGACATTGATGAAAGAAATTGAAGATGACACAAACAGATGGAAAGATATAAGAGACTCATGCATTGGAAGTACTATTATTAAAATGATCATACTACCCAACCCATCTATAGATGCAATGCAATTCCTATCAAGATACTAAAAGCATATTTCAACAGATCTAGATGAAATAATCCTAAAATTTGTATATAACTCAAACAGACCCTAAATAGCCAAAGCAACCTTGAGAAAGAAGAATAAAGCTGCAAGTATCACACTTCCTGATTTCAAACTATACTACCAAGCTGTAGTAATAAAAAAAATATGGGATGGCACAAAACAGACACATAGATCAGTGAAATAGAATAGAGTCCAGAAATGAACCCATGCTTATGTAGCCAACACAAAGAGTTGGACACGACTGAAGTGACTTAGCAGGCATGCATGCAAGCTACAATGCAGGGGACAAGAATATAACATGGAGAAAATATAGTCTCTTCAATAAATGGTGTGGGAAAACTGGACAGCTTCATGTTGGAGAATGGAACTAGACCACTTTCATCATATATAAAAAAATTAATTCTGCTTCTCTATTAATTCTACATCTGCTTCTCTGTTCCTGCCCTGCAAATAGGTTCATCTGTACCATTTTTCTAGATTACAGATAGATGAGTGAGATGGAGGGTTGGGAGGGAGGTCCAAGTGGGAGGGATATATGTATATATTTGGCTGATTTGCTTCATTGTACAGCAGAAACTAATATAACACTGTAAAGCAGCTATACTCCCACAAAACAAAACAAAACAAAGTGAGACATAGAGCTTCATTTTACATAGAAGCAACTTTGAATTTAATGTATTTGAGAGCCAAGTGCTAACAGAATGACTGGTTCTTCCTCTGAAAAAAAAATCAAACTAGATTAAAGACTTAAATATAAGTCCTGAAACCATAAAATTTCTGGAAGAATATATAGCTAGTGTGCTGTTTGAAATTAGTCTTAGCAATATTTTTTGATATGTCTCCTCAGGCAATGGCAACAAAAGCAAAAATAAGCAAATAGGATTACATCAAACTGAAAAGCTTTTGCACATGAAGGAAACCATCAACAAAACAAAATGGCAACCTACTTAATGGGAAAAATATTTCCAAATGATATGTCTGATAAGGGGCTAATAGCCAAAATATATTTTTAAAAAACCTCACACAACTCAACAACAATAAAAATCTAATTAAAAAATGGGCAGAGGCTCTGAATAGACATATTTCCGAAGGAGACATACAGATAGCGGACAGCATATGAAAAGATGCTCAAAAGATGACTCATCAGTAGTCATTAGGCAAAAGCAAATAAAAACCACAAGGAGATATCATCTCACACCTCTCAGAATGACCACTGAAAAATATAAGTAACAAGTAACGGTGTGGAGAAAAGGGAACCCTTGCGCACTGTTGGTAAGTAATGTGATTTGGTACATCCATTGTGGAAAAAATATGGAGTTTACTCAAAAAATTGAAAAGAGAACTACTATATGATCCAGCAATTCCACTTCTGGATCTTTATTCAAAGCTAACAAAAACACTGACTGGAAAAAATACATGCACCCCTAAGTTGACTGTAGCATTATTTTCAATAGCCAAGATATGCAAGCAAACTAAGTATCCATCGATAGATTAATGGATAAAGAAGATATGGTATACACACAGACAGACAGACACATACACACACACACAGTTGGACATTGAAGTGAAAAGTCGCTCAGTTGTGTCCAACTCTTTGCGGTCCCATGAACTGTAGATTACTCAGCCATAAAGAGAATGAAATCTTGCCATTTGTGACAATATGGAAGGACCTAGAAGATATTATGTAAATGAAATGTCAGACAGAGAAAGGCCAATACTGTATGATTTCACTTATATGGAATCTATAAAGCAAAACAATTGAACAAATATAAAACAGAACAGACTCATAAGCTACAGAGAACAAACTAGTGGTTGCGGGAAGGAAGAAGTGGGGAGATGGGTGAAATAGGGCAAGGGTTCCAAGAGAGATACAAACTTCCAGTTATAAAATAAATAAATCATGGGCATGTGATGCACAGCGTAAGGAATATAGTTGATAATATTGTGACTACTTTGGTGACAGATGGTAATTAGACTTATAGTGGTGATCATTTTGTAATGCATAAAAATATGGAATCACTATGTTGTACACCTGAAACTAATATAATGTTGAAAGTAAATTATACTTCAAGAAAAAATAGGTAAAGTTATTCAGAGATTCTTCCTTTTGTGTTACTTTTGGTAAGTTTTCTCTTCAGCAATTTGTCTATTTCATCTAAATTGCCAAACTTATTGGCATAAACTAAAATAGTATTAATTTCATGTCTGTAAAATCTGTGGTGATATCCTGTCTTTAATCTTTGTTCTCGTGGCTCGATAGCAAGCACACTCCATTCTGTCCCGCCACTGAATGTTACTATAAACCTAGAGAGAATGCATAGAGCACCTATAGGAAGACGGAAAGTGAATGTGTGTGCATGCTTAGTCACTGAGTCATGTCCAACTCTTGGCAACCCCATAGACTAGTAGCAGCTAAATGGAGAAGTCGGCTTGAAGCACCAGTGCATTAGATGTGAGTTTACCATTTGTGTTCCTTTGTTAGTTATTAGCCTGAATGTATGCCTGGGATGTAGTCTGGGATGCATGTAGAGAGAGCTCCAGGGAAGCACTTTAGTTCTGGCTGATTATCAGGAAACCCCCAACACCCAGAGAGAGAGAAAATGTGGAATTCTCTATGTTTTATTTCTTCTCCCCATTTCCTTGAGCCCCAGCCCTGAAGCCTTCCTATGGTGACAACAGCAAAGGCCATGGCAAGAGTCTGAAGGAGCTAACGCTCTGAGGAAGGGGAACATTCCTCCCCAGTTTGACCAATCCCCATTGCTTCTGTTTTCTGCCACTTGATCAAAGATGGGAGCAGGCACAGAAGTACACAGAGTGAAGTCACTTTCTGGCCATAAAATAAAAGGGGAACCATAGGGAACTGGACAATACTGAGGAGATTGTGGAGAGAGGAGGCACTCTTTCTTAATTTTATAGGAAAATCCCATAAAGTTGCATATGAAATTCTGGGCTCATCACTGGGCCGTGTGTTCATGGGTCTGTTCAGTGTATCTGTGACTTTGAGAACTGAACTAATATACAATCAACCAGGGTCCAGATGACATCTGAATTGTACATAATCAGGATCTATCCAAATGGTACTGCAAGGGCTTTGAAAACTGAATTTACATTTGAACTACAACTTATGGAAGACAGAGTGAACTTGAAGCCCAAACCTAAGCAAGTCTTTTGCCTAAGACAAAAATATGTCTATTCTTCACAGAATTTAAATAAGATCGAGAGTCTCATTGTGTAATATTAAAATATTCCAGGAGACAATAAAAATTACTTGATATATTAAAAAACCAGGAAAATCTCAACTCACAAGGCAAAAAAGATCAACAAACTTCAAAACTGAGATTGACATAGATGTTGGAATGATCTGAAAACAACTTTAAAGCATCTATCATACAAATGTTCCAAGAAGCAATCATGAACACTCTAGAAAAGTAAGAAGTTAGCAAAATTTCCTGTTAAGGGCTAGATAGTAAATATTTTTAGGTTTTTCAAGCCATTTGGATCTGTTCCATCTACTCAGTTCTAGGAAAACAGCTATAGAAAGCCATAAACAGTACATCAACAAGTGGATATAGCTATTTTCCAATAAAACTTTATTCATGGGATTTGGTCATAGACCCATAGTTCACCAATCCCTGGACTATAGCATTTTAAACATAGTCTATATATTTACTGAGTTTTGGTGTCTAGTTCAATCAATTATCAAGAGCAGAGTCTTAAAATCTTTCACTGTGATTGTAGGTTTGCTTATTTCTCCCTTCAGTTCTGTTAGTTTTGCTTAAGGTTATTTTGAAGCTCTGATATTAGGTGCATGAAAACTTATAATTAGAAGAACAGGCAAGAGCAACCCTTGGACCAACCAGAGCCTGTGTGCCACTGCATCCTGGTGTCCAATACCTACATCTCGCCACCATCGCCACTATGCCCAAGAGAAAGGCTGAAGGTAATGAAGCTAATGAAGATAAAGCCAAGGTGAAGGATGACCCACAGAGAAGATCTGCAAGATTATCTGCTAAACCTGCTCCTCCAAAGCCAGAGCCCAAGCCTAAAAAGAACTCTGCAAGGAAGGGCCCCAAAGTGAAAAAGGGGAAAGCTGGCAAGGATGGGAATCAGTTTCATTCAGTTCAGTCACTCAGCCGTGTCTGACTCTTTGTGACCCCATGGACTGCAGCACACCAGCGGCAGTGTCATATCTTTTTGCTTTTTTGTACTGTTCATGGGGTTATTAAGGCAAGAATACTGAAGTGGTTTGCCATTCCCTTCTCCAGTGGACCACGTTTTGTCAGAACTCCTCACCATGACCTGTCTGTCTTGGGTGGCCCTACACTCATGGCTCATAGTTTCGTTGAGTTAGACAAGGCTGTGGTCCATGTGGTCAGTTTGACTAGTTTTCTATGATTGTGGTTTTCATTCTGTCTGCCCTCTGAAGGGTAAGGATAAGAGGCTTATGGATGCTTCCTGATGGGAGAGACTGTGGGGGATACCAGGTCTTATTCTGATGGGCAGGGCCATGCTCAGTAAATCTTTAATCCAATTTTCTGTTGATGGGCAGGGCTCTGTTCCCTTCCTGTTGTTTGGCCTGAGGCCAAACTATGGTGGAGGTAATGAAGAAAATGGCGACTCCTTCAAAAGGTCCGGTGCACCCACTGCCGCACTCAGTGTCCCCAACCCTGCAGCAGGCCACCACTCACCCACGGCTCCGCCGGATTCTCCTGGACACTCACAGGCAAGTCTGGTTCAGTCTCTGTGGGATCACTGCTCCTTTCTCCTGGGTTCTGGTGCACGCAAGGTTTTGTTTGTGCCCTCCAAGAATCTGTTTCCCCGGTCCTGTAGAAGTTCTATAATCAAATCCCACTTGCCTCCAAACTCAAATTCCCTGGGGGTTCTCAGTCCCTTTGCCAGATACCCAGGTTGGGAAATCTGTTGTGGGTCCTAGAACTTTCTTAACAGTGTGATAATTTCTTTGGTATAATTGTTCTGCAGTTTGTGGGTTGTTTGCTCTGCGATTCTATGGTGGGGTTAATGGTGACCTCCTCCAAGCGGGCTTACGCCACAGGCTGTGTGACCCAGGGCTCTGCCCCCAGAGCCCCTGCCCCTGCAGCAGGACGCTGCAGTCCTGCACCTCCGCAGGAGACTCAAACGCAGTTCTGGCTCAGTCTCTGTGGAGTCTCTGGGTCCTGGTGCGCACAAGGTTTGGTTGAGCCCTCTGAATGTCTCTGGCGGGTATGGGGTTTGATTCTAAATGTGATTTCTCCCCTCCTACCATCTTGCTGGGGCTTCTCCTTTGCCCTTAGATGTGGGGCATCTTTTTTTGGTAGGATCCAACATTCTCCTGTCAATGGTTGTTCAGCAGCAAGCTGTAATTTTGGAGTTCTCACAGGAGAAGATGAGCACACGTCCTTCTACTCCACCATCCTGCCAGTATTCTAGGATGGGAATAAGCCTGCAGATAATGGAGATGCCCAAATAGATCAGGCATGGAAAGCTGATGGTGCTGGTGATGCTGGGTGAAGTGTGTGCATTCCTGGTAACTGTGTACTTCTGCTGACTGTACAGCTTGAAATACTATTTTTTTAAATCAAATTTTATAAAAATGCAGAATTTTGTTTTACTTTTTTAATAACTAGGTTGTTATTGGTTATTTTGGACACTCCATTGGTTTTTTTGGGGAAGAGTACATATCACTAACAGAAGCTGGATTGACATGGGGAAAAAAATCTTTCCCATCTAGTTTTGGGAGACTTCCTCTTGGTTCCCAGGAAGGAGCAATTCCTTGATGTTGACACACATTTGCCACCTTGGTACAAAGGCCTTGTGGTGTGGAAAATTTAAATTAGTTTTTATGTCCTCTTCTCCCTCTCCACTTGTAGCATAGACTTGACTCCCCTAAACCCAGAGACCTATTGGAACCCGACCCCTCCCCAAATTGGTTAACAGTACGCCAGGCAGTCTGGACTTTCCAGTGGTACCACTGAGATGGCATCACTTGAAAGGGAAGTGGTTCCTTTTTTAGATTGTGGGTCCTCATGATACTTTAGCCATTTTCATCCCCATTTCCTGAAAGTCAGGAAAAGTTGTTAAACATGCTAAATGTAAAATGTCAACCCTCACTCTAAACTCTCCCTGTTCAGAGCATCAGATGAAGACTTCATTGAGTTTTATAGTGGCTTTCTGATTTAGGTAGTCCACTGCAAAAGGGAGTTTGAAAGTTGTTGTATACTGTTAGCAGTTGTCTGCCTATGTCCTGTTTGAAATACTGTGATTGTTAATGAAAAGTATCTTTAAGTTGGATACAGTTTGGCTTGGGAAAATAAACTTATAATTGTTTATTGATCTGATGAATAGACCACTTTTTAAAATGGAAATATAGTTGAGGTACAATATTATATAAGTTACAGGGTTACAATATAGTGATTTGCAATTTTTAAAAGTTATACTCTATTTATAGTTATAGTGGCTGTATTCCCTGTGTTGTACAATATCTCTTTTTTGCTTATTTTATACATAATAGTTTATACCCCTTGAAAGTGAAAGTGAAAAGTGAAAGTCTCTCAGTCATGTCCGACTCTTTGCAACCCCTATAGACTATCCAGTCAATGGAATTCTCCAAAGCAGAATACTGGAGTGGGTAGCCTTTCCCTTCTCCAGGAGATCTTCCCAACCCAAGGATCAAACCCAGGTCTCCCACATTTCAGGCAGATTCTTTACCAGCTGAGCCACAAGGGAAGCCCAAGAATACTGGAGTGGGTAGCCTATCCCTCCTCCAGCAGATCTTCCCGATCCAGGAATTGAACTGGGGTCACCTGCCTTGCAGGCAGATTCTTTACCAACTGAGCTAAGAGGGAAGCCACTTGTACCCCTTAATTCCCCTGTATTACCCCTCCACTTTCCCTCTTCCTGATTATTATTACTAGTTTTCTATATCTGTGAGTCTGTTTTCTTTTTTGTTACATTCACAAGTTTGCTATATTTTTTAGGTTCCACATATAAGTGATATGATACATTATTTGTCTTCCATCTTCCTCTGTCTGGATTGACCTTACTATTATTATGAAATTTCCCTTTTTATCTATAATAATATTTTGTCTTAAAGTCTATTTTGTCAAATATTAATATAGATTCTTTTGATTGCTTTTTTTGGAAGGGTGGGTTAAAAAGCCCATAAGCTTAAATTTATCATCTTAACAGCTTTTAAATTGAATCATGTTAAGTATATTCACATTGTGCTACAGAGCTCTAGAAGTGTTTCATCTTACAAAATTGAAACTCTACACACATTAAACACTAATTTCCCTTCCCCTTCTCCTTTGCTGTTGGAAACTACTTTTCTACTCTCTGTTGAGATATTTTATGTGATTGCAAGTATACAGTATTTTGCCCTCTTGTGACTGGCTTATTTCAGTTAGCCTAATGTCCTTAGGGTTCATCCATGTGATAGTATGTTACAGGATTTCCTTTTTTAAGGCTGCATAATATTCCACCATGTAAACCACACCAGGTTTTCTTTTTTTATTATTAATTCATTTATTTTAATTGGAGGCTTTAATTACTTTACAATATAGTAGTGGTTTTTGCCATACATTGACATGAATCAGCCATGGGTGTACATGTGTCCCCCATTCTGAACCCCCCTCCCACCTACCTCCCCATCCCATCCCTCAGGGTCATCCCAGTGCACCAGCCCGGAGCACCCTGTCTCATGCATCGAACCTGGGCTGGTGATCTGTTTCACATATGGTAATATACATGTTTCAATGCTATTCTCTCAAATCATCCCACCCTCACCTTCCCACAGAGTCCAAAAGTCTGCTCTTTACATCTGTGTCTCTTTTGCTGTCTCACATATAGGGTCATCATTACCATCTTTCTAAATTCCACATATATGCGTTAATATACTATATTGGTGTTTTTCTTTCTGACTTACTTCACTCTGTATAATAGGCTCCAGTTTCATCCACTTCATTAGAACTGATTCAAATGCTGCATAATATTCTACCATGTAAACCACACCAGGTTTTCTTTATCTGTTTATCTGTCGATGGACACTTGGGTTGCTTTCACCTCTTGACTACTTTAAATAATCCTGCATTGGACATGGGTATGCCACTCTCTCTGAGATCTTGCTGTGAAATCTTTTGGATATACACTGAGAAATGGGATTGCTGAGTCATATCATAATTCTAGTTTTAGTTTATGAGGTACCTCCATACTGTTTTCCAATATAATTGTACTATTTTATAGTTCCAACAACAGTGCACAAAGGTTCAAATTTCTCCACACGTTCACCAACACTTGTCATTGTCTGTTTTTGTGTGTTTGTTTGCTTTTTAATAATGACCATCCTACTGGATGTGAGATGATATCTCATTGTGATTTTGACTTTCATAAGTTTTATGATTAGGGATATTGAGCATCTTTTCCCATGCTTGTTGGCCACTTCAGATTTCTTATTCTTTGTTTGCGTAGTGTATCTTTCTGTCCTTTTACTTTTTTGTATACTTTTATTTATTTATTTTTGGCTGTATTTTTTTTTTTTTTCTTTGCTGCATGGGCTTTCTCTAGTTGCGGCAAGTAAGGGCTACTCTTCATTATGGTGTGCAGGCTTCTCGTTGCAGTGGTTTCTCTTGTTGTGGAGCATGGGCTCTGGGGTGCTTGGGCTTCAATAACTGCAGCACAGGGACTTGCAGCCACAGTAGCTGTGGCTCCTGGGGTCTAGAGCACAGGCTTAGTAGTTGTGGCACATGAGCTTTGTTGCTCCGAGGCATGGGGGATCCTCCTGGACCAGGGATTAAACCCATGTTGCCTGCATTGGTAGGCGAATTCTTGACCACTGAGCCACCAGGGAAGCCCCATCCTTTTACTTTGAATTTATTTCTTTGTAAAGCCCTTTTTTTCTTTTGGTAGTGAAAGTGATAATCACTCAGTCGTGTCCAACTCTTTGCAACTCCAAGGACTGTAGCCTGCCAGGTTCCTCTGTCCTTGGGATTTCTCAGGCAAGCACTCTGAAGTAGGTAACCATTTCCTTCTCCAAGGAATCTTCTTGACCCAGGGATCAAACCTGGGTCTCCTGAATTGCAAGCAGACTGTTTACTGTCTACAATTTGGTCTTGTTTTCTTCACTTTTTAATCCAATCTGACGATCTCTGTCATTTAATTGGCATGCCTAGTGTATTTATATTTAATGTGATTATTGATATTACGAAGAGCCATCTTTGAAGGATTAGAGGGCAGACTGTCCGAAGCAGCATAATGGCCCCTTGAAGATGTCCATGCTCTGATCTCCAGAACATGTCCATGTGTTACTTATGGCAAGAGGGATTTCACCAATGGGATTAAGTTTACTGACCTTAAAATGGGAAAATTATCCTGGATAATCTGGGTGTGCCCAATCCAGCTGCACCTGGATTGAAGCTGTGAAAGGAACTGAAGTTGGAGCTGCAGGCTTTGAAGATGGAAGAAGGAAGCCTCAAGGCAATGAACGTGGCAGTGGAACTGGGAATGACTCTCAGCTTATAGCCAGTGGCAAGGCAGGAACCTCAGTCCTACAACTGCAAGGAACTTAATTCTGTCAGATACCTGAATGATCTGGAAGTGGATTCTCCTCCACATCCTCTAGGAAGGAATGCAGCCTGTCAGTACACTGATTTTGGTCCAGTGAGACCTGCACAGGACATCTGACCTCCAGAACTGGAAGATAATAAATCTGTGTTGTTTTTAAGTCGCTAAGCTTATGGTAATTTGTTGTGGCAGCAATAGAAAACTAATAGGACACACATTTTGGAGTTCATCCTCTCCAAAATTCCTTTCTGCATTTCCCCCTAACCTTCCGATTTCTTCTACTGTCCTCACACTCGGTTTTGTGTCTCCTTCAAGCCAGTCAGCCTGCAGCACTCTTTAGCTGGAGTTGCTCGTGGATTGCGGGTTTTGCCCTCAGATTAAAAATTCACATCCTCACAAATGTCAACAACTTCCATTCATCTTTCAAGTGTAGTCTTCTCTCCAGCTTCTGCTTTCTTTTGGTCAAGCCCTAAGGCCTCCAAATAATTTTTTTAAATCTTTCACTCAGATTTTAGACATTTTATCTTCAGGACAATTAATCCACCATTACCAAAAGCTAGAACCTCATTATGCTCTTCTGCATCTTTTTAAGTTTGTAATTTTCTATATTAGAAAAAAAGGACACAAAAGGAGTGCATGGAATATCTTAATTTTCCTTATTTGCATTAATTAGAAGGCCAAAAATTATTTGCCTCTCCTTAATATGGCACTTAAAATACAATAAAATTAATAAAAAGGAAAGTTTTCAAAAGTTTTCAAATGGCAGGGGTAGGAGTTGGGGAAGAACAATGATCTTCATTCCATCCCATAGAAGGAAAGACAATGCCAAAGAATGTTCAAACTACTGCACAGTTGCCCCCATTTCACAAGCTAGCAAAGTAATGCTTAAAATTCTCCAAGCAAGGTTAACACAGTACATGAATCTAGAACTTCCAGATGCACAAGCTGGATTC